GTTATGTCAAAATTGATGTGGCATTTTTTAAATTAATTTTTCGTGTATATGATTTATAACAAATTTAAAATATCGTTATCCGATATAACATAGAGGTCAGCATCGATACAGGTATAACATATAAAATCATATACACCGAAGTGAAAATTTCAATATTTATGTCAATTTATAATAATGAAAATGATTGATATTTCGTAAATTTGAATGAATTTTTCTATATCTATCAATTTAGTAAGTGGTGTCAATTTTTTGTCAATTTCCGAAAATTCCTTATCCTCGTCGTAGAATACAGACGTCATCCAGCATCCTCTCAATCATCATTACATTAGCGGTAATGATCCATTAGCATCCATCAAGCGGCTGTCGTTAATGCTTGTTCAGCGTTCATCGGGGAGTTCATCCCGAGACCACAATGGCGGCCGGAAATGCTCGAAACAATCACGCATCGGCTTCCGCGAGACAGAAACGTGACTGCCATCTGAAAATCCGTCCTGTTAGCTAGACGTCCCATGAGACGTTTACGTATAGTACAAAAGGCATTAAAACCAAGGGAACACGTGGAACTGCGTGTTCACACTTCGTCATTCAAATGACGAACATGATTTTGGTCGACGATACGCCTACACTGATAGTCAAACGTCTATCTCGCCGTGGTGTACTGACGTTTGTAACTATTTGTTTCTCGGTTAGCCTGGCTACATCAATACGTCGCGCTTCTTATGTTCACGGCTGTTAGCTAATGTGCCACTATCGATAAAGACTAATACACTAGTTGAAGGTAAGAAGAAGAAATGAATGAAAAAAATTAATGATTTTCAAAACTACTCAATAAAATTTTTTATAATTTGAACAATGTTGAATATTTTGAATACTCAGTGGTTGTAGAGACGTGGAGATTTCATTCTTTGATCATTTGTGAAAATCGAATTTTCAAACTGAAAATAGACGTGACCACGTGTATTTATGAAAAAATCTGCCATTGGACCAAAAGAAATTTACATTTGGATCGCAGATGTGTTTTGTTTTACCAGACAGTAAGCAGCGCCAAAAGACAGGCGGTGGCCCAATTTTATATAAACATGCCGCGAGAGTTATGTCAAGGGAAGTAAAATCTGAATAAGGGTGCCTGTCATCGCATGTATTAAAAGCAGCAAATATTTATCGTGTGTGTTTTTGATTTTACTGATATTTTTCTCTTATTCAAATAATGTATTAATCATCGACGCGAATTTTTGTTCAGGTTGTTTAAAACACAACACATCCCCATCGTATAAACCGTTTGCAAGTGAGAGATACCCGTTATGAACTCAACGACTAATAAGTTTGGCATGCAACGGCACGCCTCGGGGAAGAAATCTGGCCTTAAATTTACATTTCAAATACGATATTTCAGACGGGAAATTTGCCGGAACTTTAACCACCTCGCTTAAGCATATGTATCAGCCAGTATCCTCGAATGAAGTTTAACCTTTTACTACACGGTCTCTTGCCAAACACTAATTCGTTCGCGTAAGGAGTAAGGAGTAGGTCTGTAACCTAGGATCCCCGAGGGACATAAACACTCCCAACGGTAGAACCTAGAAGGGTTAGTAGACTCGCGCTTAATTAAATAAAACACCCCAATCCCCGTTTTCCCAGCGTTGGGGACTTACGCACGTTAAGCCAAGGGATGTTTCTCCACTTCAGAGTTTCCTCATTTACTGTCACTCCCGTCAACGAGTAAAACGATGCCAAGACATTTCTTGTCAAGCGCAACATTTCGACTTTCTCAAATAATCCCATAACTTTCTCCATTTCGAACTAAATTAATGGTAGAAAAGACATTTTCAACAACATTAACTGTTTCGTATCATCTCTTAAGCAGATTTTTCCCTGTAAGCAAATTTGTTTAAAAAATGTTTTAATTGCCCAGAATGTCCTCTCGATTACATATTTACGATAAATATTTAAAAACAACAGATCGTACCATTTTCAAACCAAAATTTTAAAATTAGCCCCTTCCACGTAGGCTGGACCGCTTTAAAAGCTCTTATGATAGACATGGGGATGAAAGCGAACCCCATGTTCCAATCAACAGATAAAGTGGTGACGTTCTAAAGCAAAGTTTTCTTTACAATCCTTTATGCATAAGACTTGCTCCATCTCAAAGAATCGAGAACTTTCTCTCTATTTAAACCTTCATAAGTAATTTACAATTTTTCAAACCTTATATTGATCGCGATAAAAGAATCTCTATAAGCTCCTCTTTACAGTAATTCTCGTTAAAGTCATTAAAGACCTATGCTACACTTACCTACTCATATTGCTTAGAACGCGTAAAAAGATAATCGACGCACTATATGCATGCTACAATAACTGAGAACCGCTGATTGTCGTTTGTATAAGCAGTTCGCGTAGGCAAGGTGATACAATTTGCCAGCCTGGCGCTTCTATTCCGTATCGTTGTTGGTTCGGTTGTTGCCGTTGTTGTAGGTACCGTGTAAGCACGGAGAGCCACGTAGTGACTTCAAGCTGGTACGAGACGAGGAGGTGCACGCCTTCGTGGGCCCAGGATCGCCCACGTTGTGTCACGCGAGAGCGATGGTGGCTTTGATATCCTTCTGCACGCTGTCGATATTCATTCGATATTTATTTCACGTGATTATGCATCCTGCTCATACGATACAAGGGACTCGTGGAGGATATGCCTACCTTTCTGCCACCCTACCTATCATACAACCTACCTACCTACCTATCTACCCTGCCGAAGTTTACATGGTCCCATAAGGAGCTACTCGGGGGTAATCGATTTGAGATTTTACGACTGGAGTCGTAACTCGTTTTATCGGGCACAGAGCGGGACGTTGGGATTTAACGTGATTTATTTCTAGGGGTAGTTTAAAAAAGGAAAGATGGAAAAAAGGGAACGACCAATTTCTATCTAAACGAGACAATTTTCTTAACCCCCCACTGTCTTCTGTCCAATCACGAACAAAAGGGTAGTTATACGTTATTTTATTCACAATAATTTTGTTTCGTAGGGAGATCTTAGTAAATTGTTTCATGATATATAAATTTGAATGTTTTTTTTTATTATCTTCATACAAATTTTTCAAAAATTAACGTACATTGGTATTGCGTGGGTTTTTTTGAGTTTAAACAAATTTGTTTGTTGTGTGCTATGTGGATATGTTCTTTCCATTGGGAATAATATTATCGCGACTGTAATTCTCGGCGATAAACGGTTTAGAATGATTTACAAGTATCATAGATTTATTAGGTCCTTGGGTTAATGTGCAACCGATACACCCAGTAAAGTTGCACGCTACGAATAATAATTTGTCTCAGTCAAGTAGCAAATCGTTAAGGTGGTGAAGTACAAGCATCGCACGCTTACTGTACAGAGGAGTCACTCTCTAATCGTGATACGTCTAACTCGTTCGGTGTGCAAACAAGATATATGATCCCATACGTCGTATTACAAATTAAAGGAGAAGTACACAGGGGTACAATTTTCAACGTTACTAATAACTTAATCTTCATATCTGAGTTATATTGCATTTTTTATTTCTCATTTCTGACTCCAGAACAATGTACCTTCATGCTTTTTATTTTTTCTCTTAGACTCACAAGGAATAGACTGTACCTACACCGATGATCGAGGCCTTGTCTCTTATTTTTTTGTCTAGACCCATAGAGCTTCTTGTAGCAGTATGCATACGGTAACCATAACACGGGTATAATGTATGATATATGAACTGTAGGTAATATGTAATAACGTTAAGCATAGCTACGCCCACCTAACGCCGAGCAAAACCGACACTTACATTATCTTGCGCTAGTCCACCGCTAGGACGTCGCGGCATTTTAGATCATTCAGAAATTATACAAGGTGCTCTATTTTAATATCCTTACGTCACTATCTCATAAACAAACCAGATATCGAACAAGTGTTTCTATCAAAGATTTTTTGATTCGACGATTTACGATAAATAGTTACATACCCAGATTTCATGTACCTATTCATAAATGAAAGTTATGAACTCTGAAAAAAAATGAGTCAAATATATCATTATACGAAATTCAAATTTTTTTTTTTTCCATAAAACACATACTCCTCGATTGATTTATTTCAAATAAGCTATGGATAATTTTGTAAAATTTTTCCATACGCCATTTTTAGATATGCAGGATCTAAATATTAAAATGACAGTAGTTCACAATCGATATATCGAAATGATATTTCACCACGGGTCGTTGAATTCTCACGTGTAGAAGTCGTTCCATAATCGTTAGATAACAGATAAAGTGTCTCACAGCAGTATCTTCACTCTCTGGTTAAGCAATAACGGGAAATTGTTAATTCGCCGTAAGACCGTACCCAAAGACATTTTGTGGCAAAACGTGGCGATCCAATTCCATCAAGACTGTTATCTCACCGGTCGTGAGTAGCGAATTGTCCGATAATGGTTATTAGCGCACTAAACAGTAACAGTTGTTGCCCCTTGTTAGACTGGTTAGAGAGTAAGACCCAAAGCGAACGCTAACTTTAGTGACTGTCTATACGAGAAACGTTCCTGTCAATGGGACCATCCATTATTTCTCATTATCACCTGTATAAGTCTTTGACAGGTTTCGTGCTGCGTCGCGCATGTTGCGATGTAAACGATAAGCGTAACACCATTACTTCAATATCTTTGGTTTTATTAGCAGTCAGACAGAAATATTCGAAGTCGCTGTCATGGTCCTGATCATTTATAATATAATTGAAGATATTTGATAGTCATGAATAATTACCAGCTGAACTGTTTTTTTTTTTTCTGTATCAAATCCCCCAATTACAGCGCTCTAAGAGCATACGAATATATCAAATGCATCCACTTGCGTGGTATGAGGGTGAGAGATTTTTTTTGAAAAATCAAATAAAAATATTTTCATTTTCAATTCTTCTCAATGTGATACACTCGAGGCTCAGCTGTTTATTCGAAAGCTTCTTATAACTTTCGTTTTCGTAATTGCAGGTTGTTAGCAGAGTACTCGACTCTAGTTGGAGCACGTGGCCTCAGATATAGCGAATACAGAGTATTTGCTCGGCAGAGATACAGAGTATACAGACCTTTTACTTTCATTGTGCAAACCTTCGTCACAGCAATTCTCGTTCGGAACTTTTGGTAAATTAGACTAACAGAAGAGCCGGTCCACGATAATGAACGTATCTTACACAAGTAAGATCGAGTTCGAATAAATTGGTATTTATTAAAATTTTTATTTGACCCGTACGACGTGTAATTTTATATACATAGTAATTAATACTCAGGGACATCCTTTAACAGGATTAACTTCCCGTCAATTATCGCAATAAGGATGAAGCACTTTTGAAAAATCATCACGAACGTTATACGTTCACAGGCGCACATGCGCATTTATTATGTATTATTATAGCGGTTAGCGAATAAGGTATGAAATACAGGATAAACACACTTATCGTCGAGATAATATTATTTCTCCTGGGCCACACACGTTTTCCTTTCTGCTGTGCGAGCTGAGCGAGCTATTTTACATTTTCCCAAGCATGCAACAAACAACCTATGAAATAACGGAGTTACGGCGATTCGCGTATACCGCGTTGCCAAGTGAAGTCTTTTGATACCAGCATGTGCCATATCGTTTTTATGGAACTGGATAGTACTTTTAATCTCGCGGGCAATAAGTGTATGGGATATTTCTTTTCCCAGTGCAAAATACATAGGGATTTTACGCGATGAATCGCGTTTGCTCAGGTGTTGAAATAGACGTCCTGAATACGCTGCTGGGATTATACGAGTCAGTTGAAGAGTAACGTATGGATAAACATGGATGACTGTTAGTCTTTTACTAGAACGGAAGTTCTAAGCCTTGTACGTATACCGATTATAGGTCTTGTAGATGGGAGACATATTGCACGGAAATTGATATACTTATAAAAGAGAAATGGTAATTGTTATAAATTATAATTAAAAGAAAAAATATTATTAATACATATGATCTTATATCTATATATAACGCGTTTAATATTATTAAAGTATAAAATGAATATCAAGTTACATTCTTGTATTATAGTTTTTTAAATCCTACATGAAATAGCTGGTAGATTCGTATACATATAAGTAGTATCTGGTGCACTGAGCTTTATTATGCCTGCACTATTCCCTTCGTCGGTTTAGCGGTTTGCATACGGCTGAAAACGGAATAATTAAACTAATATACTTATTACGCAGGACGTATATAATGGAGGCACGTAATACCGGCTTGTTAGGTTAGGTAGATGTTGGAAATTGGAGAAGGCTAAGGGGATGAGAACTGGCTGTACAAGGATCAGCATGGCCCGTGTCTCGGTTCAGAGTTCGAGACCGGAGTATAGTAAGGGCAGTGCATATTATTACCGCTCCCTTATTTCCCTTCCTCTTGCTTCCCTTTCTATAAATTCCCTATTGTGCTGTCTACCGCGAACCACCTCTTCCATGTATATCACGGATTAGCTCACAGTGCAAAATTCACTTGGTACATGATTTCCTTTCCGGTGGGCCGAGCTAGTTGGAAATTTTGCTGTGTAACTATCTGCGGGAATACATAGGGATGGAATAAAGACACTCGCGTGAGTGTGGGCCATTGAGAATATTATTTTTAAAAAAGTTAAAATTTCATTTTTAATCGTTATACTATGTTTAATAGAACTCTACGAGATTAGCTCGGAATAAAATTAACAGAATTGATTTTTTTATCAGGAAATCATCATCGTTAAACAATAATAATGATTTCAGATATACCATACGTATATACGTACGTATTTAAACGTACATTGAAAATCAACCAATGGACATCCTTTATACACTCTTCTATTAATTATCCTATATTTATTCCTTAGCAATCCCTATCGCTCAAGCTCAGTATTACCACTTTAATATAGTTAATCGTTCGCAGTAGTCCAAATTTTGAAAGAAATGCCTTGCGTAATTTTCAACCGTCTGATTCAATATTCCCATCCCTGGCACGATGGCATGGCCGGTCATATAAACGTATTTGGAACACAAAGAGTTTTCGCGAACCGGTTGTTAATAAATTGTTGCTACCGATCACCGGTTGAAGTTGAACAACAGAAAGCTGAAAGAACGACACGGTGGCCGCAATGTGCTTGTAACACGTTTGTGACAAGCCCGTAGTGTTCAGCGTGAGCAGTGGGCGTGGATCACGACACTACATTACGTTTGGTGGTCTCAGGCCGACATGAGACGGCCATCGGTACGTATATGCATAGAGATACACAAGGTACATAATACGTTCGTGAGGAAACAGAGAGAAGATCAACACGAGAGAAGAGGAAAGTAAGAGCCAGTAACATTACAGAGTCGAAGGATATAAACTCCGTGTAGGTGGTCTTGCGCTTTCAAGCCAACCAGAGCTTCGTCATAACTCCGTTGCCATCAGTCGAAAACAAACTGGTTGACTGTATCTAATAAATTTCGGAACAGCATCCCGCTCGAAGGAATCTTAAGCGAGAATGAAAGATCGATCATGAGGATGTTAGGTACCCGGGAGGCGGGCTTCGGGTAAATTGAAAAATGAATGGAAATTACGGGTTTGGCCTTTTCTTTATGTCTCTTTTCTTTTCCGCTGTCCTTTGGTTCATTCGTATTCTTTTCTTTATTCTATGCTTTTTTTATTCGCTCTTAAGCAAGAGGCATTACGAGGGAGAGAAAAAAAGAGGGGAGTAGTATATGCTATGCGTATATTATTATATACGTATAACCTAGACCTGAAGTTGCTCGCTACACCATTCTCGATTATTCATTCGCTCTTCTGCAATCGCACATATCAATAGTTTTCTTCCGAATGGTATGTGTATATACATATATATATGTTACTATACTCCTATCTTCATTAGCCGGCACAATCCCCAATCGCTTGGAGCCATGCGATAAATACCTATGCGTTCCTTTGTGATTGTCCCCTATGGCCCAGACGCAGGCCCGCGGGCACCATAAGATTCCTGCTATGCAAGAAAGAAACTCTATAATTAAAATTCGCAACAAAGAGATGCGAGCGAGGGACGATTTCATCTAACGCGAATGCAATTAAAATGCGTTGCCAACATTTGAATGAGGAATTATTCCTTACGCTCATCCATGGAAACTTGTACATATAGTATACTTATACGTATATAGCCATCGATCTTTTTCCACCATATTAATTCTACGCTCCGTATTGTTTTCTCTGCTCGAAATTCATTCTTCTACTTGCATTCTATGCAGCTGGAATCCCTCTCGTTTTCAGTCTCTTTATGATCCTATAGATACCGAGGAACGCTTTAACTCCCCTTATGGAAAGGGATAGCTGGCATACTGCGTTCTTTACCTTTGATCTTGCGAATATTTATTTAAAGAATATGTCACGCTGTTTACTTTAGAATCCCGTGCAACCCCAAAGGTCTCGCGCAAAACAAAGTCATCTCTTGTATGGGGTTGTACGAGTTTATATCTATGGAGTTGTCGGTGTACGTGTAATTATATGGATATAGATACGATATATCTATATAATGTATCTATTACCTATATATTTTATAAAATTTATATATATATATGTATATACGAGGACTTCCTACCGAACGATATATGCATTATTCTCAGCTCGTGTTTCAGGTCGAGAGGTCTATTGGTGCATTTGTATATTGTCTACTTATATTTTCATTCAGTAAGTTCGTGGCGCTATGGTGGAACAGAGTATTTCAATAGATAGGATCTCTATGGGTAGTCTAGACATCGCATTTTCAATATTCTTGGACAGGGAGGAGTGACTGACCTTTGACCTAGAAATTTAAATGAACGGTTTTAACGACGGCTGTACTTTTTTCGTGGGCATTTTTATGAATCTTTGAAAATTTTTGGTTGACTAATTTCACGCCTAACCACTTATTCGTTGCCTATGAGCTTAGACTGTAATTTACTCGAGCGGACATGTAGATCGGTACTGGGATAATTGAAACGATGCTTTGTCAGAATGGATAGTACAGTTTGATTAATTAAATTCTTATGTAAATAAACCCATGTAATTTTCACGTTGATATCTTCATGCTCACAATCTATTGCCCAGGGGATCGATCATCGAATACGTAGGTATTGATTTTCTGATCGTGTTACTATACGGTTCGGTAATATTCTCGCGTGGAGGACATAAACTGCACGAGATCGTTTCTCATTATTATTCCACTCAGCATCCTCGAGTGAAACGGTCCTCCGAAGGAGTAAGCGATGTCAGTTAGTAGTGTGTCAGAGATAATTATTGGTTACGAACTCCTGGTCGTTCATTAATTTTCGGAGAGTTATTCGATATGGGATATAGCGTTTATGTGATACTGGGAAAAGAAAATTTAAAAGCACGTATACATTACGTATATGCATATGGTAACTGAAGAGCAAGAACAAAATCGTCAGCTCTCAGTTAGTGTACGTGAAAATATTTCAGAAGGTTTAACGTAGAGTTGACTTTTCATTTAACGGTCTGTGAGTTATTACCGATACAATCTGTGATTATACAAAGTTTTATTGTACTAAAAATTTGTTTAGTTCATGGCTCACGTGCATCGAAAGAAATAACCAGCGACGCCATCCTGCAGATATTTAAGAGCGATGAACATGCTCAAGGCGTAAAAGCATTTGCATAGAAACTCGTGATTGTCCATACAGCGACGCTATCAAAATTTTTGGTCACCTTCCCGGCGCCTCTCAAACCGGACACCATCGACGGTAGTGGTTATGGTTATTTTATACACATTTATTCTACATAACCATGTCATGAATAAAAATGACTATTTAATTACCGACTTAATTTTCGGTCATTTTTCTTCGATAAACTATATGTACATCTATACAACTTTTTTGATGTTATAATTATTTCATTATGGTATCAGGTCAGTGGGTCAGGTAGATTTTAAAAATTGATAATATTCTCTTATCTTTAATTTTATATCACACTGGTACGTACCCAGAGTTCAATTGAGACATCATATTTTCTTGATTCATTGCCACTCGGTTTCGTATTGTATGTATAAAGATACGTTGTAAGAAGCATTTATGGTTGAATTTATGTCAGTGTAACTTAATTCCCGGACGAGACTAGGAAATGTAATATTCATATGGTGCTTTCGTAAAA